ATTTGAATTTATATGTATTGGAAAGTGTGATATAGATAAAAAATAAATAAAATATATATAAAAAAGAAAAGAAAAAGAGTTAAATAAATATTTACTTTAATACAAATAAAATAAAATAAAAAAATAAGCATGGTGCATGCTTTTAATAAAGTAACATTTTAAAACAAAAAAAAATAGAAAAACAGGCTGAACAAGCGTTCAGCTTCTTGAACAAACACCTGGGCCCCACTACAGAACTGCAGAACTGAACGCCCACAACGCATAGCTCGTTCATTCAATCTTTAAACAAGGGTCTTTAACGCGACGATGTGGATGCCCTAAGGGATTGGAATGAGATTTCTGTGAGGTGGCACAACACATGTGTTGCGGGTCCCACATGTATATTAGCTATTGGCCGATTAAATCTATACCAGCTTCCCCATCGGACAATTTAATCCGAGAACGACACTGACCATTTTACCCTTAATTTTGGAGTTGAAAAGACGAAAATACCCCCATTTTTTAATGTAATTATAGATTTGTACCATTTAAAATCTGAAAAACGGGCCATTTCCCTAGTTCTTGTCTTGTATTGGCGGGAAGAAGCATAGACACAACATTTGTGGAATTTCTTCTGGCCAAAGGTAAGGTCGAAGAAGTCATTTGTGATTTCCGTTTCTGAAATAAGAAATCATGGCTATTGATTTCAATATGAATGGCCGTTAAGGCAAAATTATATTATTTATGGGGAAACGCGTGCGTCAGGCAAGGCTAAATTCAAATATTGATTGTTAAAAAATAAGTAAATTATTTACTTTAAAAAAATAAATAAATATTGTGAGAAGATATCAACCAATTTAATTCATGATATATCATGTTTATTTAAATAAATTTCGTATTATCAAAATTCATAATTTTATAATTTTTCTTTAAATTTAGAATACATTTACATTTTAATTTTAGCATAGATTAAATAGTAATCCTAGATTTCTAACTTGTATTTTTTAATTGAGTCTTTAAAACATGTACTTTTGTCCGTTTTTAATTTATTCTACATACTAGTATACCATCCGTGTATTACACGGGTGATTGTTAAAAATTATTCTTAAATTTTAAAATTAATGAGAAAACTAAATTAAATTTAGTTACAAAAAAAATATATTACTATATATTTTAGAATGATATGTGTTACTTATGACTTACATGTGTTATATTATATTAGTTGTTATAACTTATATCATATAACTACTTGAAATATAAATATATTAGTTGATAAGTAATTTTATTTTTCTAATTATTATTAAAAATAATTTTATTATTGTTATAAAGATAAATATAAATTAGTTTTTTTATACATACAATATGGATGTTAAATTGAAGTCCATCAAAAGAAGATTAATTAGGGCTGGCATTTTTTGACCGAAAACC